GTGTGAGATCTCAAAATAAACCCCCTTCAGGTGTGTGTGTGAACTCAAGATAAACACCCTTCAGGTGTGTGTGTGTGAACTCAAAATAAACCCCCTTCAGGTGTGTGTGTGTGTGAGATCTCAAAATAAACCCCCTTCAGGTGTGTGTGTGTGTGTGTGAACTCAAGATAAACACCCTTCAGGTGTGTGTGTGTGTGTGTGTGTGTGTGAACTTAAAATAACCGGCTGGATGTACATTATCCCTTACATATCAGCACAGGTTTCTTCAGAGGTTTAGTGCGCACACACACACACACACACACTTCTGCAGAGGTGTAGTGCTCGGTTCAGGTAGTTGCTGCTGAAGCACAGATGTGTCTCACTGAGAGCGTTCTGAAATTACAGCCAGCCGAACGTGTGTGTGTGTGTGAATAATTCAGCGAGGCGTGTCATCGAATTACACTGTGGATCGCAGACATTAATGTAAACGCTCGCCGCATTCAGAGTCAAGCTGACTGTGGAAGACAAATGTGATAAAGAAATATAATTTAAAAAATAACATAAAAATACATATATATTAATAATCATAAAAAATAAAAATAACATACAAATAAAATACATATAATAATATTAATAATGATTTCATAAAAATAATAAACGACAATAAAATATAATAAAGTGAATAATAATAAAAATGAAAAAAATAATCATAATAAATAAATAAAATATAAATCAATAAAAATGATTATAATAAATGACAATCATAAAAGCTAAAAAATAACAACATAAAAATAAAATAAATATAATAAACTATAATAATATAAAAAATAAAATAATTTGTTTACTAGGACTAGATATTTCACGACTCGGCACCACCACAGTCTCCCTCGGTGGGTCTGTGCACCAATCAGGAGCCGTGTAGCGCAGCCGCCCACCGCTTCCTCCGGCGCAGCCTCTCTCACAAGCCTTTCAATCTCTCGCTGGAGCTCTGCTTTCCCCCCCAAATCTGCTCCATAATTAAAGTTACAGTCAAAAATTAAGGTAACACTTTACAATAAGGTTTATTAGTTAACATAATCTAAGAATGAGCAACACTTCTACAGCATTTATTCATCTTAGTTAATATTAATTTAAACATTTACTAATACGTTATTAAAATCAAAGGTTGTATTTGTTAACATTAGTTTTTTACTGTGAACTAACATGAACAAACAATGAACTGCTGGATTTTTATTAACTAACATTAACAAAGATGAATAAATACTGTAATAAATGTATTGCTCATGGTTAGTTCATGTTAGTTTATATACATTAACTAGTGAACCTTATTGTAAAGTGTAACCAAAATTAATCATAGTAAATGAGCTCACCCATCCTTTCTAGCTTTCTTTCTTTCAACACCTCCTTTCTGCCCTTTCAACAGCTGGACGAGGTTTTCCTCCATGTTTCTGTCTCCTGCAGGCGGTGGCGGGATGGACACGTCACAGCTAAAGCTAAAGCTACGCTCACACTACTAGCGACAAGATCCCATTTGTTTCAATGGAGAGCCAGCGATTTCCAGCGACTGAGCGTTGCTGACCGTGTCCAGCGACCCGACAAAGTTGAGATCCGTCTAACTTAATGCAAATGAAGAGCGACTTTTGGGACAACCAATAGGACTGAAGTCAGTGGAGTCATGTGATCCGTCCCTCTTCAGTGCCGAGTCGAGTCTCCTTCATCTATACAGCGCTTTAACTATACAGAGTTTCACAGCAGCTGTACAATGATAACAGGAGATTACAGTAACAGAGAGTGTTTAGGCTTTACAGCAGCTCTAGAATAAAGTTATTGTCCAGATAAAGTTAGTTTTGATTGATTCACTTCAGTTGTAAAGATCATTAGTTATTAGCTTAGCGGCCGCTAACACGACACCGTTTTAACAGAAAACAGAAACTTTTAATGTGTTCTGGACGTTCTGTGTTTGGTGCTCGAGAACGCAAACACAGGTTCCAAGGCACAAGTTTAAAAAACAAAAACAACGTTATCTCCGTGTAAACTTCAAAAACATGCATATGTGTTTAGTCTATAGGTATAGAGCTTCTGTAGCCCCGCCCCCTTTCAGCGCGGCGCTCGTTGTATTTTCGGCGCATAAGGCCCCCCTGGACCCCCCAATACAGTAAAACTGCACTTTTTAGAGTGGCCTTTTATTGTGGCTAGCCTAAGGCACACCTGTGCAATATGGATCATCTCAGGAAAGACTTTGGTAACACTTTAAAATAAGGTTCATTAGTTAACATTAGTTAATGTATTAACTAACAATGAGCAGTACATTTATTAATCTTTGTTAATGTTAGTTAATAATGTTCATTGTTTGTTCATATTAGTTTACAATGCATTAAATAATGTTAACAAATACAACCTTTGATTTTAATATTAACTAAGATTAATAAATGCTGTAGAACTATTGTTCATACTTAGTTTATGTTAACTAATGAACGTTATTGTAAAGTGTCACCGACCTTTCCTTCCAAAATGTTGGTTTGTAGCGACAAGAACTAATTTGTTCTAGAACATGGAGTAACATCCGTGAATGTCACTCACAAACATTACTAGGCAACCAATAGGCGAACTCACTTGTTCACTTGTGACAAAGTCGCTTGTAATGTGAACGCACCTTGAGGATAGATTTGTATCTGGTTGAGTTTTGTTTGGGGTCCCTGATACCCTGTGGTGCCACTGGGCTTCACTCGACTGATTTGCCCTACCTCTAAAAAAGTAGTGCTCAGATTCAGATTCATTCTTTATTGTCCCCGAAAGACCGTACCAGTAATATTCACACACTGCACAATACACACAAATATACAGTTTTAATAGAAATTATTCAACCCTCATTGCAAATCAGGTTTATTGGCAGCCTTTCAGCCGTTTGCAATGAACAAATCAAACATAAGTAACTGAAATAGCTCAACACAACAAATGTTTCAAGTGGTTTCCGCAAATTCAACTGAAAATGCAACTTTTAATGACTTCTGCAGTCTCAAAATTAGTCAACGTCCCTCACAACAGCACAGATCTGCAGAACAGGTGTCGTCTCGCTAATCAAGGGCTTCATGAGCTGCACCAGGTGTGCTAAAGCTAGAACACATGAAATATCTGAACTGGAGAGGTTTGACCATGTTAGAAATAAATCAAAAGAATGGTCCAAAAAGTTATGATGATATCATCACCCTTCACAAACAAGGAACAGGATTCAAATATAAAGATAGCGAAGGAACTAAATGTTCCTAGAGACACCGATGGAATCATAGTTCGCAAGTTCAGAGTTAAAGGAACAGTGGTTACACTCCCTGGACGGGCAGAAAAAGGAAGATTACACCCAGATTTCTGAGGAGGGGGATCATGAAAACCCTCGAGTGACTGCAGAAGACCTGCAGCAAGAGGTTTCAGCTTGAACAGTCAACGTCCTTGCACACAGAGTACGAAATTTTCGAATGCGGTTTTTTCGTATTTGTGATTCGGTGGCTCTGAATTGTCAAAAGTCACCATTCAAAATACTTGCTACTAGGGGTGGAACGGTACATGTATTCGTATTGAACCGAAACGGTACGGGCGTCACGGTTCGGTGCACGAATTTGCACGCAGAATACACGGTACAAAAAAAAAAAAAAACCTCTTAAATAGCGATAAATTTCGCTCTATTCGCTTTTGGTGTGACTGTTAACGCAGCAATGAACAGGCTGCGATCAAGATTGCAATGCAGGAGTGTGTGTGTCTGTGTGCGCGCGAGAGAGAGAGAGAGAGAGAGAGAGAGAGAGAGAGAGAGAGAGAGGCGCGATGAACAGTGTGTGTGTGTGTGTGCGAGAGAGAGAGGCGCGATCGAACAGTGTGTGTGTGTGTGCGCGCGCGTGCGAGAGAGAGAGAGGCGCGGGCGCGAATCGCGCGATGAACAGTGTGTGTGTGTGCGCGCGCGCGCGAGAGAGAGGCGCGGGCGCGAATCGCGCGATGAACAGTGTGTGTGTGTGTGCGCGCGCGTGCGAGAGAGAGAGAGAGGCGCGGGCGCGAATCGCGCGATGAACAGTGTGTGTGTGTGTGTGTGTGTGTGTGTGTGTGTGTGTGTGAGAGAGAGAGGCACGGGCGATCGAACAGTGGAAACGTTTTTTCATACAGGACATCATTAAAACTGCAAATTGTTTACTTATATTTGTGTACACTGGCAATAAAACACAACATTGTGCTTTTGTCACACTCTAAACTCTTGTCAAACTGTAACCTACAACTGTTAACAAACGTTTTTATGGTAGTATTATTTTATACGGAAATCAATTATTTATAATTCAGATGAGAATAAAGTTAGTTAATTAAAATGAAGGAAAACAAATATCTTGATCTGAAATAGCAAATTAATTTTAAATTCATTCAGGTACAATTACCAAACATATCTCAAGGTCTTTTCGTCTTTTTAATAATTTAATTAATAAACTAATTATATAAAACTACTGTCAGTGCACTACAAATAAACTGGTTCTATGCCTTTATTAATAAAACTTATTTAAAAAAATACAAGGTTTAAGACATTTATAAAAATGCCTTCTGCATTTTTGCTTTGCTTTTCACTCCATTGTACCGAAATCGTACCGAACCGTGATGTCTGAACCGAGGTATGAACCGAACCGTGACTTCTGTGTACCGTTCCACCCCTACTTGCTACGTATGCGAAAAACGCAGAAAATCAAACAGTGCGTAAGCGTGATTGACATAACGGGAGGTCGTATTTATTTTTTAATGTGAAGGTAAAAGTTCCAGTTTTGTGGCATCACTCCACAGAACTGAATCTCAAAACTTCTGTGGCTTATGTGATTTTGAGCACTTTTCTTGTGCTTTCGGGTCAGTAGAGTGTAGTCTTAGAGTTCTGGCATGCGTTTAGAACTAGCCTTACTGTTCAAGCTGAAACCTGTTGCCATCATTGCCTATCAGGAAATCCTAAGAGAAAACGTAAACGTAACGAGGAAGATAAAGCTTGGGAGTCACTGGACCTTCAACAGGACAATGATCCCAAGCACACCTCAAATTGCAGAAGAAGTCCTGGGAGATACAGTGGCAGCACAGTCTCCTGACTCGAACCCCATAGAACACCTCTGGTGGGATTTGAAGGAGGACAAGAATATTCCTGAACTGGAGGCCATTGCTCATGAGGAAATATATATTGCCATGAAGGGGTCGAATACTTTTGAGACTGCAGAATGCATTAAAAGTTGCATTTTCTGTTGAATTTGGGGAAACCACTTGTTGTGTTGAGCTATTTCAATTCCTTTTGTTTGATTTGATCATTGCAAAAAGTGTAGTCTGTTAATTTTGCCAATACATTTTTTTTTCGCAATGGGGGTTGAATAATTTCGATCGCAACTGTACATACTACACAAAAATGCCAACAGCAACAAAAAGCTTTCCTGGAGCTCTAACAGGAGAGCGCTGGCGCTTGCAACGCCAAGGTCATGGGTTCGATTCCCAGGGAAAGCAAGAACTGATAAGAATGTAAATGTGTGCCTTGAAATGCATCTGCCAAATGCATAAATGTAAATGTAAAACCGTATGAATGCAGTGCTAGGCCTCTCGCTAACGCTAGACCATGATATGATGTTATCTTTGTCCAGCCACAGATACAGCGTTGTAGACTGTAGTGTCCTGTTAGTAATATAATACAAATAATAATAAATAAAATAATATAAATATAATAAAAATATAGCAAGAATGTTAACGATAATAAAAGAAAAAAGACAAATAAAATAATAATAAAATATAAAATAATATAATAATTAAAATAAAATTATAAACAACAATAAAAGACAATAAAATATGGTTAATACAACAATGTTGATAATCGTATAATAATATACATATAATTTGAATAGAGGTGTAATGGTACACCATTCAGTACAATTTTGGTACAATAGGAAAAATGGTCACACTTTAGTTTAGGATCCACTTCTCACTATTAACAATAGCTTTTACCTTAATAAATCCCTAATTACTGCTTATTAATAGTTAGTTAGGTATTAAGTGGATTAAGGGATGTAGTATATGTTCATGAAGAACATATAAGCACTAATAAACAGCCAATATAATAGTAATATGCATGCTTATAAGCAACTAGTTAAAAGTGTTGAGTTAAACTATTTTAGGGTCCAATTCTCAAAGGAACAAATCCACAATGTTAGGTTTCTGTTCTTTGAGTCTTTTAGTCCTTTAGGCATTTAGTCCTCTAGTTGCTACAGTACAGTCTGCTTTAGTGTATTAAAGGTGACATATTATGCCCCTTTTCACAAGATGTAATATAAACCTATGGTGTGTGTGAAATCTCAGCTCAAAATACCAGATCATTTATTATAGCGTGTCAAATTTTCCCCTTTTTAGGTGCGAGAAAAAAAGCGCCATTTTTGTGTGTGTCCCTTTAAATGCAAATGAGCTTTAGCTCCGCCTCCGTTGAGAAGAGGGCGGAGCCTTCACACGAGCTTCAGAGACTCCGGCAATAACACAGGCCGATCTCACTGATCCAGAATCAGGAGTAACAGCAGCGAGGGCAGCCTTACGGAGAGACTCAGGGAGAGCTTCACTTTTACACGTTTCTGACAGATTTATTGAAGGTTTGTAGTAAAGCGGTTCGTCGTTAGCATGTTGTCCTTCAAATAATCTTAACCCAAAGTTTTGTCTGTGAGACCAGTTTATATTTAATTAAGTTATTAGTTAATATTAATTGCAACATTTAGTAATATGTTGTTAAAACCAAAGGTTGTATTTGTTAATGCACTGTGAACTAACATGAACAAACAACGAACAGCTGGATTTTAATTAACTAACATTGACAAAGATTAATAAATACTGTAACAGATGTATTGCGCAATGTTAGTTAATACATTAATGTTAACTAATGAACCTTATTGTAAAGTGTTACCATTTTATCACATTTGGATTTCATACATGCATTTCTTATTCAAACTAAATCCTGTCATCCAGCATCTCCTCCATCTTTTATCCTCGTCCTTTTCACCAAAAATGTGTTTTAGATGGACAGATCAATACAGTACAGATCATCAACAAAAGTAGGATGTTGGAAAATAATGGATTTTCTGTTCACCAAATGCTTTTTAATCTTCGCTATTGCTTCAATGCAAATGAACAAGCGCCGTTATGTGTAGCGTAGTGACGTGTGTGTTCAAGTTAGCAGATATGAGCAGATTCTGAGCAATATTTAATATATCATGATGACTCACGAGTATTTGCGTTAAATCTGCGCAGATTTGACTTACGCACGAACTTCCCCAGCAGAGAGAGAGTAAACATCATCACATAATAAATAAGTCAAGCTGATTTTGGAAGTCAATTGTGACTAACTGATCTTCATTATCAAAAACAGAGCCAATAATAATAATAAATAAAATGATATAAATAATAGAAATATCATAATTATATTAATAATAAAAGCTAAAAAAAAAAAACCTAAAAAAACAACAACATTAAATCATATAATAATAAAAACAAAGAAATAACAATAAAAGATAATATTAATAAAAATAATAACGTCATGTGTTGTCATGTTGAAACTACAGTAAATAGGAGATGTGGTGTCTGTGTGTGTGTGTATATGTGTGTGTGTGGGGTGTGTGCGTGGTGTGTGTGTGGTGTGTATGCATGTGGTGTGTGTGTGGTGTGTATATGTGTGTGTGTGTGTGTGTGTGTGCGTGTGTGGTGTGAGTGTGGTGTGCATATGTGTGTGTGTGTATATGTGTGTGTGTGGGGTGTGTGCGTGGTGTGTGTGTGGGGTGTGTGCGTGGTGTGTGTGTGTGTGTGTGTGTGTGCGCGTGTGTGTGTGCGTGTGGGGTGTGTGTGTGTGCGTGTGGTGTGAGTGTGTGTGTCTGACCTGGTTTGGTGGGAGTGCTGAAGGAGCCGAAGCCCTGAGCCGCCACAGACCCGGCTCCGGTGCTGAAGGACCCGCTGGGCTTCTGTTCCCCGAACGAGCTGCTGGAGAAGCTGAAGGCCTTCGCTCCGCTGCTCCCAAACAGGTTAGCCGGACCTGAGACACACACACACACACACACACACACCACAGCTTCAGCACCAGTCAAACACACACCCGTCGCTCAGGCACTATAACGGGCTTCTGCACCGGGTGGTTCCTGGAGCCGCCAGGGTGTTTCCCCAGGACTGATGCTTCCCTCAGGAACGTTCTCCTGGATGCGTTCGCAGCGCCTGTGGGAACTCTGAAGTGCCGAAAAGACACAAGCCCTGAGTGTAATAACCCTGGGAAGCGTGTGTTAATACCTGTGTTAATCGGCTGGCCGAATCCTCCCGCGGCCGGCGCTCCGAACGGGTTCTTGTTGGCGGCGTCTTCACTGGGTTTCCCTCCGAGGCCACTGAAGAATCCTGACCCCGAGGACGTGTTCCCCGCGCCCGAGCCGAACAGACCCGCACCGGACTGAGCCTGAGCACACAACCACACCACACACACACTTCAGACACTTCACACAGCCAGGAATTATTATAGTGTGTGTGCAAATCAAGTCAGCTTTATTTATGAGTGTTTTAGAGCAGCTTTACAGAGATAACAGGAGAATAATGCAGCAGTGTTTCCAGAAGAGAATAACGTCTCAGTCCAGCTTAAGTCAGTTCAGTGATGCTTCATTTCTGTTGTGAAAAAGTTATTAATTTAGTTCTTTATATATATAGCGGCTCTGGAGTAAACCGTGATGTCATCGTCCAGCTCAGTTCAGTTCTCATATAATGCTGTCAATGCAGGAGATCAATAATATTGCTGAATATTACATTAAATTAAACTAAGCAAGCGAAAAGCCAAAGGTGAAATAGGCGACAGTGAAGGAACCAAAACTCAATCAGAGACAGAACGGAGAAAAAAACCTTGTTACTGTTACACACACACACTGAGTGACAGCATTGGTTTTCAGTGTGAATGCGGTGAAAAACACACTAAACATCTACACCGGGAAAGAGCTTTGAGACCGACTGTACAACTACATTTGACCAGAAATCTGAGGTGTATTTCCACACACTGCTAAAGCCACAGAACAGAGAAGGGATCCTGGGATTCACAGAAACAACGACTCCAGGCAGAGAACGCTGGATTTACAGTTATTATTGTGTGTCAATATGCTGAATTATGGGGTAAAATCACACCCTATATATAGTGTTATTAATTATATATTGTATTGACAACTCCTCAATTAAATATTTAGCATCGTATATTCTGCATAATCGGACGTTTTTAAATAAACACTGACAAAAAACCACACCAGTTTTAGGGCTGGACGATATGATGATATATATTACACTGATATGAGTGATCACATGGATTTACACCTATATTGTGTTTATATAAAGCGTTCACAGGAAAGTGTGCTTTATGTATTTCCCCGGAGTCGAAATTAGGCTCATGAATGTCAAGAAACATGATTTTTGTTCCCTGTAAATTGTTTTTGACTGCATTATAATGATTTCTGAATTCAGAATAGGATCAGGATTGCGTAGGTGGATGTGTTCGGGGAATTTGGCTGTTAAAAGTGTAACATTTAAAGTCACTTAAAGCCATCATTTTGATGAACGAGATCGAACAAGAGAGTCAGTAAAATGATCCGAACGGTTTCATCTGATTCATGAATGTAATTGAACATCTGTGTGTTTTATCATATTGCTTCTGTAAAGGGTTTTTACTCTCTCCATCCAGAGACTGTGGTAAAACCAGCCTCTTGTGCATTACTGCTGTATATTAATGGTTTTAACAGGTTTTTGGGGTCTCACTGGCTGGCGATGATGGCAAACCAAAAGTAAAAACATGACATTTGCCTCCAAAAATGTATATATGTCATTGGGGTTACTCGAACTGACAGCTCATCTGGTTTCAGAAGCCTCTCCGAGACTCGAACACACGTTCATAACTCATTACAGTCAACCTGTGTGTGTGTGTGTGTGTGTGTGTGTAGGAGCTGTACCTGTCCGAAGACGCCGGGCTGCTGTCCGAACACCGACGAGCTGGAGGTGCTGCTGCCGAACCCTGGTTAAACACGTCAAGAAATCAAACATACAGACACCAACTCTGTGTTTATTCTTCAGCATGGGATGAAATTAGTCTCAAATTATAAGCAAATGCATGCTCAATTATCACTGAACTTGATAAACGCTGCAGGTGTATCTTGCTATCCACAACCAAATGCGTTTCTGTGAAATTTGTACAAATAGATCTGTTTGTGAATACTATTTTCTTTTGTATTAATGCATCATAATTAGTGCATGCAACAAGGGAGATGTGCATTTGTGGAGCGAGTGCAATGAATGGATTCATGCAAGTCCTTAATTAGGGTTGGGATCGGATACATGTTATAAAATTTAAATTTCGATTCCTCTGTGAGCGTCTCAATATGAGTGTAAAGCATTGGAGCGCGAGAGACTCTGTCCTCATGTGTATCAGTGTATCGGACCCGTGCGGCTCTTAAAGTGACAGCGCTGATATTCCTGCCGTCTCTATAATAACACTAATCACACAACAGAAGACTGAGAACACTCACTCGCTCTAGACTGGATAACTTTAGTAACTATAATGTGTATTTTATTTATAAAGTGCAGAGTTATTTTACATTTGATTAGTTTCTGAACACCTGAAAATCTTAAAATAGTTTATTTCAATCGTATCTTTGTTCAGTTGTGTCTATTTGTTGCGATTGCTAATTTGTTATTTTTTAATAACTGAGTGTTTATTGTCTTTAATAATGCTTGAAATGTATATTAGTTCGGCTAGTTGTTTTCTATGGTGTTTTTAAACCACAGGCAAACGTTTCCCTACTAATCGGTCAAACTGACTCGCAAAAGTGTCTGAAATTGTTTGCGTTTCCTCACATCGTACTTTATAAGCCAGAAAGCATTGATAGCGCTGGAGATACGTTAGATCGTTGACACCTAATGCGCGTGTTTACAGGGCTAATTCAGTGTAGTAGTGTGTCGTGAGCTAGTTATGGGTCAGTGGATGTGATTCCGGCCCGTCGGGGGAATGTGCATCAGTCTCGGGTGTGTCTTCCTCAGGATTCCTCCCATTCCTGTGACGTCGCCCTTATAAACAGCTGAGTCACTGACCCCTGACCCCCAATGCACACCTGTTTATGTTCTGCGTGTTTAGGCCCACATTAAACCCTAAAGAATGTGCTGACTGAAATTATGCAAATGTGACGGTACACTGCATATTATGTGAATTATTGACGCTTGCCATTTTTTTCAGCCTAACTCAGACTGATCGAGCGAGCGATTAAAGCCAGTTCAGTCAGGCAATCCAATCTCAAAATCCAAATGAATTAAAGTGGATCAACTCGGTAAAGACTAGGGTTGGGTATCGTTTGAATTTTATCGATTCCTAATTTCGATTCCAATAAGGTAAAAATAACGTGGATATCATTTACATTTAGTCTTATTGCAAAACATTTAATTGTAGCTGAATATCATCAACATGCTAAATAACTCTTACTCGAGGAGCGTTTGCCTGTGGTTTAAAAACACCATAGAAAAGCAACTAGCCGAACTAATATACACTTCAAGCATTATTAAACACTCAGTAATTAAAAAAGAACAAATAAAAAATTAACAAACCGCAACAAAGATACGATTGAAATAAACTATTTTAAGATTTTCAGGTGTTCAGGTGCAGAAACTGTAATCAAATGTAAAATAACACTGTACTTTATAATTAAAATACACATTATAGTCACTAAAGTTATCCAGTCTAGAGCGAGTGTGTGTTCTCAGTCTTCTGTTGTGTGATTAGTGTTATTATAGAGACGGCAGGAATATCAGCGCTGTCCCTTTAAGAGCCGCACGGGTCCGATACACTGATACACATGAGGACAGAGTCTCTCGCGCTCGAATGGTTTACACTCATATTAAAATAATGTGCACAGAAAACAGCGCGCGAGTCGTCTCATATTGTCATAAAGTCATATTGAAATGCTCACAAAGGAATCGATAAGAGGAATCTCAATTTTAATTTTATAACAAGTATCCGCTTCCTGACCCTACATCGTACTCTGTCTTGTGGGAATAAACTACCCTGTGATTTGTGTGAATAGATTGTCCAGTGCGTTTATTAAAACCCACCTGATGGTTGTCCAAAACCGAACCCAGAGGACGCCGTGGTGGTGTTGCTCCCGAACATGGACCCCTGGCCAAAGCCTGCGCTGGGCTGTCCGAAACCAGGAGCGCTGCTTTGGGAAAAGAGTCCAGTTCCAGTGCCAGTGCCGGGTGCGGAGCCGGTGCCGGCTGCGAAGGAGAAGGAACTAGCACTGTTAGCGCTAGCAGCTCCAAACATCCCTGCTCCTCCGCCGGTGGCCGTCGAGGTGGTGGAGGTCGTAGCCGGCGTGCCAAACCCAGGGCTAGCGCTAAACGCCGCCTGACCAAAACTGAAGTTGCTAGCAGAGTCTGAGGCGGCAGGCTGGCCGAAACCAGCAGGACTCTGTCCGAACGCAAGCTTGCCAAAGCCAGGGGTCGAAGTGGCGCCAAACGCGGTGGATCCGAACGCTGTGCTCGGAGCGGCGGGTGATTGTCCGAAAGTAGGAGCTGCGCTAGTGGTGATGGCTGTGGACGGGGTGGATGAAGCCGAAGTAGTGACGACTGTGGAGAAACCGACGGTTTGAGCGTCCAAAGGCGGGGCAAAGATTGAGCCAGGTTTGTCAGACGCTGAAGTTGCTGGAGGCTCTTGGGAAGCAGGAGTGGCTAAAGAAGAGCTGCTAATCGTCTCAAGAGCGGGATTAGCGACCGGTTCCGCTAAAGGAGGCTCGGATACAGCCGTCGGCGTGTCGGATGGTGGAGTAACCGATGGAGGGGGTGCTGGCGAGACCTCCAGAGTTGGAGGAGTTGGAGGCTTGTTGGAAGTTGCTGTAATGGTTTCTGTAATGATGGGAGCCGCGGCTTCAGTGGCCGATACGACTGGCGCACTTAAAGCTAGCGGTTTAGGACTGGGAGGTTCTTTAGCTTCTTCTTTAGCCACCTCGGGTGAAGCCGTCGTCGTCGGGAGGGGGTTTGTGGAAAGAGTTGTCTCTTGTAGAGGTGCGCGGAGAAGACTGCCGAAAGATGTGGCGTCCGGTGGGAAAGTCGTCGAGGGAATCGTAAAAGTTGGTTTTACTGCGGGAGCCGCTGCTTCTAGCGGTTTATCGGCGGGTGTAAGCGTGCCGAGAGCTTGTGGCGTCATCGTTTTCGTAGCTTCTGTAGTGGCGCTTTCCAATTCTGCTGTTGTACTTCCAGTTTCTGCAGGCTTGATTTGCGCGGAATTGAACCCGAATCCTGTGGATCCGTTGCCAAAGGTGAAGCCGAGCGCGGGTTTGGAGGCATCCTTGAGTTCTTCGCTTTGGCCGACTCGTAAGCCGGAGAAGCAGCCGAGAGTTTCTCCTTGGGCTTTGGGAGCGTGAGGGAGTTTAGGAGTCTCTGGAGGCGGGGTCGAGGAGCTCGCGCTCGGCGCGGGAGAAGCCAGTTTCGGGGTGAAGGAGAAAGGCTCCTCGGATCCACCGGGGCCAAACGGCATCTTTGATCCGCTACTGCTAGCGAAGGAGAACTTGCCTGGCGGGCCAGAACTCTTCGCTGTTTGAGGATTAGAAGAAAAAGAAAAGAAAGAAATTTACTAAGAAGGGTGTGAAAGAATCTGCAGAAAGTCCAATTTGATTTATAGCTGTTTTCAATGCTTGTTTTGTCTATTTTAAAGTCCCCCTGTGGTGTAAATCCAGCTTTTAATGTTGTTTATGTGTCTATGTGGTGTTTTTAATACGCTTTAAGACACACCATGTGTAAAGAAAAAAGAAAAGAAAATTTTTTTGGTAACACTTTATTTTAGAGTCCTTGTTAAATATGTTACATGTACTTATCACAGTAATAACAGTAAATTAAGCATAATTACATGCAACTAACCCTCAACCAAACCCTAATCCTATAACCCTATAGCAAATACATGTTGTTTATTAATATTTCTCAGTACTTAAATATATAACACTGTAACAATGACACCTTAAAATAAAGTGTAACCGAAATTTACCTAGAAAGGTGTGGCTAATTGGCCAGAATAGGAACCAATTTGATTTATAATTGGTTTAGCTTATTTTCAATGTTTGTTTTGTCTATTTTAAAGTCCCCCTGTGGTGATTAATGTTGTTTATGTGGTGTTTTTAATACGCTTTAAGACAAACCATGTGTAAGTTCATAAGTCGACAGCATTGCTGAGTATTTCCTGCTTAAAACTGCAGTGAACCAAAGACAGTCTCAAATATCAAATGTTTGCATCTCTAAATGAGACACAAATGGAGACGATACCTTGAGTGTTGTTGGCGTCCGGGGATTGAGATGTGAAACTGAACCCTGCTGACCTGTGAAACAGCAAAACATGAGTCTTATATTTACATACAATCAAATATGAAGACATTAGACAAGACATCAGAAGAGTTGCTGAAGACTCACGGTGTCGAAAACGAGAAGCCCTTCGAGCTCTTCTCACTGACGGATGAAGACGCTCCTGCATCGGGCTTTGCTGCTCCGCCTGTCACACACACACACACGCAATATTAAACATTCATACTTTTATTCAGCAAGGATGCATTAAACCCTCATCCTTCCCTCGCGGTCTGGAACAAATCTTAAGCCCTAAAATTATACTACATTTTTGTTTCTGTCCACAAATATTTTATTTCCTTTTGATAATATTTTTTTCTGTTTTTTAAAGCAATTTGTTTGGGAGATTTTTATTTTATATTTTTAAATGACTAGATTTGATCAATAAATAATAAATATATAGTCATTTAGAAGCACATTCTTTCAAATTAAATTCAAAATAACACAATTTCATGCATAACTCTTAATTCAGCTCTAAATATCTTACATTGGGAGTCTTTGACCTCTTGTGGGAAATAAATAATATAATATTTCATGCCTCTAGATGGGCTTATAGCTCTATATGGAGCAGAGGAGCTGTTCCGCTGGGTCCTAAAGCCAGTTCACTTCAGTGTGCGCTCACACACACATGTACACATTATACAATAATCTTTTGGTAAAGTTTTAGCAGTTTTAGTTTGAATTTGGAGCATTTTTAGGTTTTTCTATGTGTACTGAAGCATTCCTTGCATTCCTAAGGGGGTCAGATTGACCCGAGAGGGAAGGATGTGTTAGTTTAAATTTCAACCACAAAACTCCTCGAATCCATATTTGTTTTTAGTTGTGTATTCGTTGTCAAAGTGACCCGAGGGAAGGATGAATGTTAAATTGCTCAAAAGTGCCAGTTAAAAACGAATGGGAACTCACACCTACCGAACACAAAGCTGGAAGATGTGGCCTGGGCCGGCGACTGGCCCTTTAACGCGGCTTGAAAGGAACTCTGTGGAAGAGAAGAAACGGACACACCAAACGCCACACATTAGATGTCGGCCTTTTTAAAAAGCAACTAAAAAGTCCTTGGTGTAACTGTAGTGCATCTCATGCGAGACTCACTTTACTGGCCTCGACCGTAGCCAGAACCTGCTGAACCACCTGAGCCGCCGGTGCTGGAACAGACGCGCTACACACACACACACACACACACATCAGGAACAATGATCATTAACACTCTTAGGAGAACATCTATCATCTGAGGGACAAAATCATTGCAGAATTCAGTCATAAAAACAGAATTTTAAGCATAAATGACACTGAATTTGGCCCTTTTTGGATGAATAAATCAAAAGTAGGGAAATACACTTAATCAAATGGCAATATGGATATTAAAGGCTATTGAAACCTGAAGTCTCACTATATGAGCACATGATGACATGAACTTCATGTCCAGAGCTGATCTGAGTCACTTTAGCAGCATTTCGTTTGAACACACACACACACACACACACACACACACACACACACACACACACACACTTCAACTCGCCAAAATAAAAGTTCGGTTTAACTTGAAGAAATTATGACAGAAATATATTACAACTGTACAGCTCAATTTACCTCTCAAATGGAAATGTAACAATTTATTTTATATTTTGGCAAACAACAGGTTTACTGTTCGAATTATAACAGAACAAATATTAGGGTATTCCTTTAAAAATTACAATTTAATAATTTTATTTTTAGTATTGGTAGTAGTAGTAGTATGTATTGATTTTTTTTTTTTTTAAAGATTAATTAAATTATTAAAGTTTTATCACTTCATTTGATCCCCATCGGTTTTGATACGTTTGTATGAAATCATAACTCCAGAAATTAAAATGGAACAATTACTGGGGGAATGTATAGGCCCGTATTACTGTAAAAAGTTCAATAAATTATTAAATTGCTAAAGGTTTATGAGCTCAAATGACATGCTTTGATTATTAAAATGTAATTAAACTATTAAAATGGAATCCAGAAATAGAGAAAACAAAAATAAAACGGAAAAATACACTAAAACCGATTTCTTATGGCCCTAAAATGTAAATTGTTAAAGTTTTAATAAACTGTTGGTTAATTATAAACATTTCATAATTTCAATTAATTACATATGATTTTTGATTACTAAAAGGAATTTAATGATAAAAAAAAAAAAGGATTTCATTTGGCTCTAGGTCAAAACGGACCCTTAGTGAACAGTGTGTGTGTGTGTGGGTGTGTGTGTTTGAAAAGCCCATATGTCCAGATGAATGTTTCTGTGTAAAGGCCTGTACACACCGGGACGAATATCGGCTCGCGTTATTCGTCAGCGTTTTTCAAAGCGTTTTTTGTGTTCACACCCAAGCGATTTTCGCTGACGATGAGCCGAGTGAACACGCAAATTCATTCCCTGACATTAGATGGCGCTTAATGTAAAACAGAAATACCCCGGTCCACAAAGTGGCGCTGCGCAACTACGCTTCTGACACTCGCTTGTCACTCAGAAGAAGAGAGCAAGTTTGTCGCGTTTGTTATATGGTTCTTTATTGTCGTTGGTGTCTCTTTATAAAGACACCAACAAGACCAGCGGCTCTACATTCATCTAGCCTTGCATCTTCCTCGTCTTATTTCTTCCCGGCAGAGTGTAGACGCTGTATATCTTCTTCGCCATTACGTGTGTGTGCTCGGCAAGACCGTTTTGTGTTTGAGCGCCCCCAAGCTGTGTTTTACTGTAACTTCAGAAGCTCCAGACACGTGAGCAAAAGCGCCAATCTCATTGGTCGGATAGTTTTTGACGTGGCGCTTCAAACCAAAAAAACGAACCCGAGGCGTTTTTAAAAAAATGACGCTTTTACGCGTGGCGTTTTACGCGTTGGTGTGCACACTCACATTGGCGCCCTTTGTTTAGTCACGAGGCGTTAAACGTCGGCGAATAACGCGCGCGAAATTCGTCCCGGTGTGAACAGGCCTTTAGGCATGCTGGGATACATCTTAGAAACAGCCTGAATAAAAGCGCTGTGATGTTCTGTGTTCACGTCTGAAGGCCTGTTCACACCGGGACGAATTTCGCGCTCGTTATTCGCCGACGTTTAACGCCTCGTGACTAAACAAAGGGCGCCACTGTGAGTGTGCACACCGACGCGTAAAACGCCACGCGTAAAAGCGTCATTTTTTAAAAAACGCCTCGGGTTCGTTTTTTTGGTTTGACGCGCCACGTCAAAAACTATCCGACCAATGAGATTGGCGCTTTTGCTCACGTGTCTGGAGCTTCTGAAGTTACAGTAAAACACAGCTTGGGGGCGCTCAAACACAAAACGGTCTTGCTGAGCACACACACGTAATGGCGAAGAAGATATACAGCGTCTACACTCTGCCGGGAAGAAATAAGACGAGGAAGATGCAAGGCTAGATGAGTAGAGCTGCTGGTCTCGTTGGTGTCTTTATAAAGAGACACCAACGACAATAAAGAACCATATAACAAACGCGACAAACTTGCTCTCTTCTTCTGAGTGACAAGCGAGTGTCAGAAGCGTAGTTGCGCAGCGCCACTTTGTGGACCGGGGTATTTCTGTTTTACATTAAGCGCCATCTAATGTCAGGGAATGAATTTGCGTGTTCACTCGGCTCATCGTCAGCGAAAATCGCTTGGGTGTGAACACAAAAAACGCGTTGAAAAACGCTGACGAATAACGCGAGCCGATATTCGTCCCGGTGTGTACAGGCCTTGAGACTGAGGAAGATCACGCGGAGTGTGTCTTGAGGGCAAATCTCTGCCACTGCTCTCACACACACACACACACACACACACACACACACACACACACACACACACACACACACACACACACACACACACACACACACACACACACACACACACACACACACACACACACACACACACACACACACACACACACACACACACACACACACACACACACACACACACACACACACACACACACACACACACACACACACACACACGATGGTCATTTGATGATGATGATGATGAGAGCAAGTGAGTGAGTGAACGTAAGTGTGTGTTTGTGTGTGCACGTAGGTGTGTGTTTGTGTGCGCACGTAAGTGTGTGTTTGTGTGCGCACGTAAGTGTGTGTGAGTGTGACTGCCTGCGTGTGTGCGTAAGTGTGTGTGAGTGAGTGTATGTGAGTGAGAGAACGTAAGTGTGTGTGTGAGTGAACGTAAGTGTGTGAGTGAGAACGTAAGAGTGTGTGTGTGATTGTGTGTTTGTAAGTGTGTGTGAGACTGCCTTTGTAAGTGTGTGTGTGTGTGTGTGTGAGTGAGTGAGTGAGTGAGTGTGTGAGTGAGTGTGTGAGTGTGCGTTTGTAATTGTGCGACTGAGCGTTTGTAAGTGTGTGTGTGTGTGAGTGTGTGTGACTGTGCATTTGTAAGTGTGTGTGAATGTAAGTGTGTGTTTGTGTGTGCACGTAAGTGCGTGTGTGACTGTGGGAGTGTGTGTGCGTAAGTGTGTGTGTGTGTGACTGTGGGAGTGTGTGTGTGCGTAAGTGTGCGTGTGTGACTGTGGGTGTGTGTGTGTGTGACTGGGAGTGTGTGTGTGTGCGTATAAGTGTGCGTGTGTGACTGTGGGTGTGTGTGTGTGTGACTGGGAGTGTGTGTGTGTGCGTATAAGTGTGTGTGTGCAGTCGCTGTCTCAGGGCGAGCAGCTCGAGCGTTAATAATGCATGTGTCTGGGTTAAAGTTGCATGGGACACACTGTCTTGAGCATTCACACACAGATGAGGTGTCTCGCGTGTAACTAACCCCCCACACACACACACACAGGCAGGAAGTGATGTCAAATAATCATCACCACAAACTCTCACATCCTGCAGTGTCTCAATGCACAACGGAAACCTCCACACACACTAAACACTCTTTCACATCATAACTATAACAGGAGATCCTGAGAACTATAATGTTAATAACTATAACGACTATCACAATAACGTAAATGACATCTATAATAATAACTATAACATTAACGATAATAACTATTTGTTAAATATGACAACAATACTGTTAACGATAACATTTATTATAACGATAACTTATAACACCATCCATATTATATCGATCTGCTGGTCAAATGTTTATCACACTGAAAGTGATTAAATGATTATTTATCATTATAGTTCATGGATCCTCATGATGCATAGATCAGCCACCTGTCAATCATCCCAGCCTATGATTCAGACGCAGAGACCACAGATTCATAACTTCTGTAATCGAAGCCAAGCTAATGTCAAACGTTGGTTTGCGTTTGATGGTCTTAAAGGTCGACACACACATGTGACTGTTGTTCATCAGAAACGAGTGTTTGATCGCGGTCTGAACACACGCCTGAGGGAAGATGAGCTCATGTGAGAGGTTAAAACAGGACACCGTACACACACACACACACAGGCCTTAATAAACACACACACCCATAATAAACACACACAGACTGACCCTGACCTCATTTCAGAGGATTTCACAGTGCGAGTAGATTCATAGAACACACACACACACACACACACACACACAAAGCAGTGAAGCGAATGAACATCACATGTGTTGATGTGTAATGAGTGTGTATTTCTGCCGTGAGCGAGTGAACGACAACAACAACAACATTCAAGCGTTTCATGATCCTGGAAAAAACTAACATCTTTTTCTGCATATATATATATATATATCGCGACATTAAAACACAGGAATGTTCAGCAGATTACTGGAATAGCTGTATTTGGAAATATTTTAAAGTCCCCCTGTGGTGAAAATCCAGCTTTTAATGTTGTTTATGTGTCTATGTGGTGTTTTTAATACGCTTTAAGACACACCATGTGTAAGTTCATAAGTCGACAGCATTGCTGAGTATTTCCTCCTTAAAACTGCAGTGAACCAAAGACAGTCTCAAAAACACGGTTTGAAATCACTGGTGTTTCTGACGTCACAAACGACCTTGTAACCAATCAGATCAACGTGTGATCGTCAACCAGTGGATCTCTGAGCTGAGGGAGTGAGTGGAGGCGGGGCTCATCTGCATATTCATAGAGCCGCGCATACTAAATGAGGCGAGGGTGTCGAGTTACATTCAAGATATTTTAACCCTCTGGGCTTCTTTGTTTAGGGGTTACACTTGGCTTCTTTCGGTCAAAAAAGACCGAAGCCTTAAAATGTAACTTTTTTTCCCCCCCAGGAAAACCATTCAAATATATTTTTGTTCAATAATATTTTCTTATTATTATTTAGAATTTTTAAAGATTTTTATGATACTTTGCATTATTTATATAATTTTTACGAGCTATTTTCTCCATTAGAATTTTTTAATTTTTTAATTATTATTATATAAAAAATTTTTTTTTCAAAAAACTCAACGTGGCACATTAAAATATAATGCTGGCAGCAGGCAAAAAAAAATTCAAGTGAGAATACCGCCATCCAGTGGCTTTAAAAATGTTTTAAAGTGTGTAATGTCCGTAACCGCCTGTAGGCTGCCCATAGCTTCCTATGTAAATACATATAAATGCTTTTTGATTCCTATTGCTTTTTTAGACATGATTTCTCTCTCTTATTCGTTTGTTTTTATTTAGATATATATTTAGATATGCTAAAAGACTACTTTTTTTTTTTTTTTTTAGATGAGTAAAAATGTATAAATGTGTGTAATGTCCGTAACCGCCTGTAGGCTTCCTATATAAATACATAGAAAGGCTTTTTGATTCATATTGTTGTTTTAGACATGATGAGGTGTGTGTGTGTGCATTTGAGCGAGAAAGAGTAGCCTATCTTTTGTACTTTATTTTAATTTTTGATTTTATTTAGCATTTTCTCAACATTTGCTGTTACAGTCTTTCCTATTCATTTCTCTGTGTGTGTGTGTGTTTGTGTGCGTGGGTGTGTGTGTGTGGGGGGGGAGGTGTCTTATTTGCACTCTTGATGTTTTAGAGTGTCACCCCTTCATTGCTGTACACTTTTTTTCTGCACAGTGGCTGATCTGTAGTTTGTACCACCAAAAGTTTCTCTGAGTTTTCCTATTTTTTCGTATTTCCCATTCATTTCCTATGTCGGTCATTTTTGACCGAAAGGAAGCTAAGTGTGACTATTTTTTTTAAGACCCTTTAACATATCCGAATCATCTCCTTGATTTTTTTGTGTGTTCACATAGGTAATACAACAGAAGTCACCAAGTTTCATCCCCCTCCGATGAAGCAAAAAAATTAAACATTTCAAAACGTATACTGTTTCGGTCATTTTTGACCGAAGAAGCCCAGAGGGTTAAAGCATTTTTAAGGAAAAAAACATTTAAATATGTAATTTTGGTGATCTAAGGTGAGTTTTAACAGATAAAATGATTGACCACAGGGGGACTTTAAACATTCCAGGTGATTTTGTTGGGGGGTGCAAAATAAAAATAGCTGAAAAATCGGTAAAAAATATATATTTTACTCCTTTGAGTCCTTTATAGAATTAAAAAAAAAAATCTTTTTATACAACTGTAGAATTACAATAACTTTCTTCATTTTTAAATGCTGAACCATCAAACTTTTATTTTGACGGGTTGCCGGCTATCATGCAGCCCTAATGCATTTTCAATCTGTTCTGAAGCGGAGCGCTTTATTCAGTGTGAAGACCGTAAAACTGCCCCATAATGCCCTCTCTCACCTGATGACGGTGGACACAGGTGTGTGTGGACCTTTATCCTTCAGCTCCTGAACGTTCACCACCTGAGGAACCGTCTTCAGCGTGGACTCGGTCAAACACGCTCCTAGAAACGACAGACAGACACAGATCAGATGTGCTCGTGATATTAAAGGGGTGGTTTAATGCCCCTTTTTACAAGAGGTGAAATAAGTCTCTGATGTCCCCAGAGTGTGTGTGAAGGTTTACCTCAAAATACCCCACAGATATTTTTATATAGCATGTTAAAATTGTCCCTTTTTGAGGGTGAGCAAAAACGTGTCGTTTATGCGTGTGTCCCTTTAAATGCAAATGAGCTGCTCCGGCACAGGGGGCGGAGCTACAAGAGCTTGCGTTTGTGTGTGTGTGTTAGCAGCTCCGATTACCTCACGCAGACAAACACTAAAATGTCACTGTGCTGATGATATTAAATTAATAGTCACATTTCTGACCAACTGCATGTTAACGACAGCCATCAATGTGAGCACAGGAACAGACCATAATAACTTAATTCATCAGTTATTATTATATAATGCTCGTGTCACGCCGTGTCAATGATGCAATACATCTAGTGTCCCAAATAAGAATAACGTCAGCTCAAACTCAACTCTCACAGGTGTTTTAAACACTCTATAACTGATTGTATTAATAGAGAGAAACATGGAATATTTACACATCAAGTTTGGAATAATTAAGTTTTTTAATGCTTTTTGAAAGACTCTCTTCTGCTCACCAAAGCTGCCTTTTAACGTGTCTTTTGGTTAAAAATACGTTAAAAATAGTGAAATATTATTCTAATGTAAATCAGCTGTTTTCTATGTGAATATATAGTAAAGTGTAATTTATTCCTGAATTTCCAGCATCATTACTCCAGTCTTCAGTGTCACATGATCCTTCAGAAATCACTCTAATATGAGGATCTGATGCTCAAGAAACATTTATAGTTATTATCAGTGTTGAAAACAGTTGTGCTGCTTCAGATTTATATTTCCATGATGCTTTGATGAATAGAAAGTTCAAAACAACAGCATTTATTTGATATATTTTGTAACATTATAAATGTCTGTAGTCACTTTTGATCAATTTAGCGCATCCTTAAATTCTGAAAACATAAAATCTTTTGAGGTGTAGTGTGTATTATAACAATAAATTGACAGAAAACTAATGTTTTTGCAGTTCAGAGAGTCGATGGTGTGTGTCGCCCCCTAGTGTACAGACACACTCATACTAATAATGCACATAATAAATGCATTATTATAAAAAGCTGATAATAGTATATCGTGTCACAATATATCGCAATACAAAAATGCATCAATATGTAACGTGGATTCACCCAAAATAAAAATTACTGTGTGAGAAAAAAAATCTATTTTTCAGAGTTTTAGTGTCAGTACTACATCAAACTACTATATAACGTTGAATATAATGTATAATAATGCAATGGGGGATATTTGTGTGTCCTGATAATGCCAGATGTCTGATGTTTCCAGTAAAAGTGGCCGACATTATTTTAAATATACCTAGTCAGTGAAAGAGTGCAAACATATTCTTCTAAAATAATTCAGTGTTTTCATCTTCAGAATCATGAATATTGTTCTTCTGGCGTCTCTATTGTCCTGTGCTTTGGGTTTCAGCTCCAAGTCCAAGACTATTCATGTACACACACACACCGTAACACCAAATTTAGCATTTTAAATCAACTGTACATTTTTTGTTAACCTTTTACCAAATGTCTTGGAGTATCGCAATAATATCGTATCGTGAGTTCAGTGTCGTGATATGTATCGAATCGTCGTTATTTTCTTTATTTGGTGAACATGTGAAGGTTGGCGTGTTTGTACCGGGTTTCTGGCTGGTCATGTGTCTACTGAGGGCGGCTCTCCCAGCAGCCTGAGGGGCGGGGACTGACGTGGGCGTGGCCTTGTCGGTGGGCGTGGCCTTCTCTGTGGGCGGGGCTCCGTGCTTCACTGTTTTTGTGGCTAGCGCTGTGCTATCGGCACTGTCCATGTTTATCTTCGGAGCTGCAACACATTCAAGAGACATTCAGGCAAACCAGAAATTATTCAGACACCAGATATAATTTTTTTACTAGTGTGTGATCAGGACACTATAGTTAATTTATGTAAGTGAGGAGAGCAAAATAAAGTAGAGTGTGACATATTATACCCTAATATTCTTCATACAGCGACTACCAGTGACATTTATAATCATTCAGGAGCAGAAATGATTCCTCCACTTTGAGCTGATGATGTTTTGCTGAAGTTTGTTTTCTGTAACTGCTAATGCTCTTTTTACACACACACTGAACAACATGAAGCATTGCTTGGTCACTGGTTGAGCTAAACTGGTATTCTCTAATTGTGGAGTTAAATTTAACAGCTGACAGATATTCAACATAATTCATGTGTGAGAGTCTAACAGAAGGACGGACAAAACCAGTCAAATATCCACTGATCTGAGAACTCTGAGTTCTGCTCATATTTATCACCATTTTCTAAACTATAGTGAATAAAGTGAGAGATGTGTACGGTTCATGAGTGCGTGTTGAGATCGGCACGGGCCGCACCGGCGCTGATGATCGGGACTCTGCTGAAGGGACTGGTACTGAAGCCCGGCTGTATGGAGGGCGTTCGGACCACGGTCGGGTGTCTCGAGACGCTGGGCATCAGAAGCGGCTCGTCCCCGTCCTCGGCCAGCGCCAGCGAGTCCTCGGGCTCCAGAACCTGAGACAGAGACGAGCTCGAGCTCACCTCATCCAGATCCTCGTAGAACTGAGGACACAGGAACGCGGACCGCGACAGGTTGGCTGAGGAACCAAAGAGACATGGAGAGAACTCGGATCGTTTCAAATGCGAAATTATGTGAATTTGTTCATTTTAAATGAGCTTGATAGACAAAGACAGTAATAGACGGTTAAATTACTCGCTGAGTGTTTGATTTGTTCATTTTAAATGAGCTTGATAGACAAAGTCACAGTAATAGATGGTTAAATTACTCACTGAGTGTTTAATTTGTTCATTTTAAAATGAGTTTGATAGACAAAGACAGTAATAGACGGTTAAATTACTCGCTGAGTGTTTGATTTGTTCATTTTAAATGAGCTTGATAGACAAAGTCACAGTAATAGCAGACTTCACAAAACATGCAGACTTCAGGAGAACACACATGTGACGTACCAGGAGCCGTGGATCGAACCGGTGGAGTCTGTCTCTTCGACAAGAAGTTCCTGAGCTGAGACTGCTTGGCTGGGGTCATTTTAGCTGCGCACACACACACACACACACCTCACTCATCTGTGCAGAAGCATCATGATTGTAATGGCATTGACATGTAAAGCCGTGTTTCCACCGCAGGAACGAGGGACTTTGGGCCGGTACTCGTGTGTTTCCACCGCAGGAATCGGGATCTAAATGAAGTTCCGGGTAAATATTTCCCCCTCAGAAAAGGGGTTTTCGAACTAACTATTTTAGTTCTAGGAACTCTTTTAGAGGAACTAATTTACTCGTCCTCCAGAGTCGCTCTAACCCAGCGCTATAGATCTACAGTGACGTTAGTGTTCTCTGATTGGCCGAACGCACGCGAAACACCAGCACTCGCCGTTATTAAAAAGGCGCACAGATTATAGCCTATATATTTACTCCAGAAACGCACTCTACGAACATGTAAAACAGAGATAGATGAAGCTCTTAATCTTTACACTGAGGAGAAACTCCAACACAGCTTTGAGGGACTGAGAGAAACATGATGATGTGTTTCTGCTCAGCAACACTGGACATCAACACACGCCATACGCTAATAACTGTCCATTACGGTCTACGTTCTGTGTATAACAGTTCTATATCTAATAACATATTAGACAGGACTGTTATGCTGTTCACACCGAACGCGAAGCGAGCGTCTGGAGTAGGGATGGGACGGTATGAAAATTTCATATCACGATTATAGTGTCCAAAATTATCGTGATTATCAATATTATCACGGCTTTGTTAAAATTAGATCAAAAAAGACCTGATGCTCACACTGAAAACATTTCCCCAAGTTTTATATTTGATAATCAACAAACAACAAATAAATAAGCAGCTCTATGCAGTTTTTTAAGCAAGATTCTGTGGCATTACCTGCTTTATAATGCCCGTCGTCAATAGCAACGCATTATTACACCGCGACCGCACACATGCATATCACAACGGACGCGCGCTCGTTTCATTCAAATACAACTTGCCGTCTGGACGATTGTTTTGGATTTATATGGATTTATAAACGGGTAAGATTTAACACATTAATCTCAAGTCAACCCTAAAAAACAAAAACGGTGTAATAAGTGTTCAAAGAATCTGTACATTACTATCCAACTCTTAATAATAGTCTTGTTTGAAGTTGTTCATTCGTCCGTCTTTGGCTCAAAGCCACTTGCTGCGAACTTTTCTTCGCGGAAGCTTCACCTCTATTTCAAGTGAGTGAGATAAAATATTTCAACTCAAAACAACATTTTGTGCCCAATTATTTCCCAGACGTAGTTTTGGTATTGAGGTCAAAGTGAACTTGCCTTGTGTTCGGGTGATGGTCCCAGAAGACGACAGGGTGTCCATCCTCGACCAAGTGTCCCTCGGGACTTTTGTAAAAGCCAAAATGTGACCATACCTCAGATTTGATCCTCTTAAAAGGTTCAGGTTTTATTAAGCTTATATTCTAGTGATGGGAATTTCGGATCATTTACGGACTCTCGTTCATCAAAATGAGTCGAGTCAGTTCGTTAAGTGGCTTTAAATGTTATACTTGTAACAGCCAAATTCCCCGAACACAATCATATTCTGAATTAAGAATATGCAGTCAAAAATAATATACAGGGAACATAAATAATTACTTTACCTTCCGAGTCCTTCGTTCATTTGTCATGTGACACACGCAATGAACATGAATGACCCATCACTATTATATTCAGAGGATGAAACTGTAAAGTCGCGCGCTACGTCACCGGGCTAACTATTAGCCTATAATCCTCACGGTACTTTAGATCGCAGTGGAAACAGTTCCTGGGACAAATAGTTCGGGTTAATATCGGTGGAAACGCGGCTTTAGACACGAGATGGAGGCGGCTTGACATCATCTCCTCAATCCTGTGACTCTTACATGGGGATTTGTCTTGAGCTTTGGGTGCCGTCTCCAGACTGGCCTTCAGAAGAGCTTCCTTCAAACTCTCCAGCTCACGGTCCAGACTGAAAACACACACAAGCATGTGAACCCTGACGCTTCTTCCATGACAAACACACACTCTCTCAATATCCTCATGGTTAATTCATCATTGATACATTTGCAATAAAAAAGAAATATCTTTAAACTAGTGGTTTTATTGGTTCAGGTGCGACTGAAGTCCTCAGGCTTTGGACCGCTCTGATGAACACTCAATTAACAAAATGAGTTTCGGGTCAAAATGACCCGAGGGAAGGATGAGCGTTAAATATTTAAACTCTGAAATCAATATTTTATGTGCTTTAGTTCTTAGAATATGGAAAACAGCAGTGTGACAATGTTCATTATAATCCCTGCATGTTGAGGTTTTGTTGTAAATAGTTATATCGCACAACCCTACTGTACAAGTTATATCGCACAACCCTACTGTACAATGACATTAATGCACTGCAAAAAATGCTTTTCTTACTTAGTTCCCAGTCCAAATATCAAAAACTTCTTAAATCAGGATGCATTTATTAAATTAGTGAAATGCCATACGATATTATGTCTTGTTTTCTGGGGGAAATAAATCAAAATTAAAGTGAGTTGTTGCTTAAAACAAGCTAAATTATCAACTAATGGGGTAAGAAAAATTATCTTGTTTCTGTTTAAATTAACTCTTTAGGCGCCAAGTTTTTTATTTTTAAAAATGCTGGATTTTGACATCAAAATGTCAAAAGCTTGTGGCTTGAAAGGGCTTAAAGATAGAGATCTACTGTAAATTAGAAAAATGTTGGGGATGACTGAAAGTTTATGTGGGGTGTAAATATAATCATCTAATTAGCATATTATGACATCATCAGGGGGTGGCCCTCTTGAATTTTATAGTATTTAGGAAATAGTAGATATTGAATTGATGTTTGAACTTATTTGCATGTTATTGGCGCGATTACGCAGCTGTGTGATATGTACTGTGATTACGCAGGTGTGTGATATGTACTGTGATTACGCAGCTGTGTGATATGTACTGTGATTACGCAGGTGTGTGATATGTACTGTGATTACGCAGCTGTGTGATATGTACTGTGATTACGCAGCTGTGTGATATGTACTGTGATTACGCAGGTGTGTGATATGTACTGTGATTACGCAGGTGTGTGATATGTACTGTGATTACGCAGGTGTGTGATATGTACTGTGATTACGCAGGTGTGTGATATGTACTGTGATTACGCAGGTGTGTGATATGTACTGTGATTACGCAGGTGTGTGATATGTACTGTGATTACGCAGGTGTGTGATATGTACTGTGATTACGCAGGTGTGATATGTACTGTGATTACGCAGGTGTGTGATATGTACTGTGATTACGCAGGTGTGTGATATGTACTGTGGTTACGCAGGTGTGTGATATGTACTGTGATAACGCAGGTGTGTGATATGTACTGTGATTACGCAGGTGTGTGATATGTACTGTGATTACGTAGGTGTGTGATATGTATTGTGATTACGCAGGTGTGTGATATGCACTGTGATTACGCAGGTGTGTGATATGTGCGGTGATTACGCAGGTGTGTGATATGTACTGTGATTACGCAGGTGTGTGATATGTACTGTGATTACGCAGGTGTGTGATATGTACTGTGATTACGCAGGTGTGTGATATGCACTGTGATTACGCAGGTGTGTGATATGTACTGTGATTACGCAGGTGTGATATGTACTGTGATTACGCAGGTGTGTGATATGTAATGTGATTACGCAGGTGTGTGATATGTACTGTGGTTACGCAGGTGTGTGATATGTACTGTGATTACGCAGGTGTGTGATATGCACTGTGATTACGCAGGTGTGTGATATGTACTGTGGTTACGCAGGTGTGTGATATGTACTGTGATTACGCAGCTGTGTGATATGTACTGTGATTACGCAGGTGTGTGATATGTACTGTGATTACGCAGGTGTGTGATATGTACTGTGATTACGCAGGTGTGTGATATGTACTGTGATTACGCAGGTGTGTGATATGTACTGTGATTACGCAGGTGTGATATGTACTGTGATTACGCAGGTGTGTGATATGTACTGTGATTACGCAGGTGTGTGATATGTACTGTGATTACGCAGCTGTGTGATATGTACTGTGATTACGCAGGTGTGTGATATGTACTGTGGTTACGCAGGTGTGTGATATGTACTGTGATTACGCAGGTGTGTGATATGTACTGTGATTACGCAGCTGTGTGATATGTACTGTGATTACGCAGGTGTGTGATATGTACTGTGATTACGCAGGTGTGTGATATGTACTGTGATTACGCAGGTGTGTGATATGTACTGTGATTACGCAGGTGTGTGATATGTACTGTGATTACGCAGGTGTGTGATATGTACTGTGATTACGCAGGTGTGATATGTACTGTGATTACGCAGGTGTGTGATATGTACTGTGGTTACGCAGGTGTGTGATATGTACTGTGATTACGCAGGTGTGATATGTACTGTGATTACGCAGGTGTGTGATATGTACTGTGATTACGCAGGTGTGTGATATGTACTGTGATTACGTAGGTGTGTGATATGTATTGTGATTACGCAGGTGTGTGATATGCACTGTGATTACGCAGGTGTGTGATATGTGCGGTGATTACGCAGGTGTGTGATATGTACTGTGATTACGCAGGTGTGTGATATGTACTGTGATTACGCAGGTGTGTGATATGTACTGTGATTACGCAGGTGTGTGATATGCACTGTGATTACGCAGGTGTGTGATATGTACTGTGATTACGCAGGTGTGATATGTACTGTGATTACGCAGGTGTGTGATATGTAATGTGATTACGCAGGTGTGTGATATGTACTGTGGTTACGCAGGTGTGTGATATGTACTGTGATTACGCAGGTGTGTGATATGCACTGTGATTACGCAGGTGTGTGATATGTACTGTGGTTACGCAGGTGTGTGATATGTACTGTGATTACGCAGGTGTGTGATATGCACTGTGATTACGCAGGTGTGTGATATGCACTGTGATTACGCAGGTGTGATATGTACTGTGATTACGCAGGTGTGTGATATGTATTGTGATTACGCAGGTGTGTGATATGCACTGTGATTACGCAGGTGTGTGATATGTACTGTGATTACGCAGGTGTGATATGTACTGTGATTACGCAGGTGTGTGATATGTACTGTGATTACGCAGGTGTGTGATATGCACTGTGGTTACGCAGGTGTGTGATATGTACTGTGATTACGCAGGTGTGATATGTACTGTGATTACGCAGGTGTGATATGTACTGTGATTACGCAGGTGTGTGATATGTACTGTGGTTACGCAGGTGTGTGATATGTACTGTGATTACGCAGGTGTGATATGTACTGTGATTACGCAGGTGTGTGATATGTACTGTGATTACGCAGGTGTGTGATATGTACTGTGATTACGCAGGTGTGTGATATGTACTGTGATTACGCAGGTGTGTGATATGTACTGTGATTACGCATGTGTGTGATATGTATTGTGATTACGCAGGTGTGTGATATGCACTGTGATTACGCAGGTGTGTGATATGTGCTGTGATTACGCAGGTGTGTGATATGTACTGTGATTACGCAGGTGTGTGATATGTACTGTGATTACGCAGGTGTGTGATATGCACTGTGATTACGCAGGTGTGTGATATGCACTGTGATTACGCAGGTGTGTGATATGTACTGTGATTACGCAGGTGTGATATGTACTGTGATTACGCAGGTGTGTGATATGTAATGTGATTACGCAGGTGTGTGATATGCACTGTGATTACGCAGGTGTGTGATATGTACTGTGATTACGCAGCTGTGTGATATGTACTGTGATTACGCAGCTGTGTGATATGTACTGTGATTACGCAGCTGTGTGATATGCACTGTGATATGTACTGTGATTACGCAGGTGTGATATGTACTGTGATTACGCAGGTGTGTGATATGTACTGTGATTACGCAGGTGTGTGATATGTACTGTGATTACGCAGGTGTGTGATATGTACTGTGATTACGCAGGTGTGTGATATGTACTGTGATTACGCAGGTGTGTGATATGCACTGTGATATGTACTGTGATTACGCAGGTGTGATATGTACTGTGATTACGCAGGTGTGTGATATGCACTGTGATTACGCAGCTGTGTAATATGCACTGTGATTACGCAGGTGTGTGATATGTACTGTGATTACGCAGGTGTGTGATATGTACTGTGATTACGCAGGTGTGTGATATGTACTGTGATTACGCAGGTGTGATATGTACTGTGATTACGCAGGTGTGTGATATGCACTGTGATTACGCAGGTGTGTGATATGCACTGTGATATGTACTGTGATTACGCAGGTGTGTGATATGCACTGTGATTACGCAGGTGTGTGATATGCACTGTGATATGTACTGTGATTACGCAGGTGTGATATGTACTGTGATTACGCAGGTGTGTGATATGCACTGTGATTACGCAGCTGTGTGATATGCACTGTGATATGTACTGTGATTACGCAGGTGTGATATGCACTGTGATATGTACTGTGATTACGCAGGTGTGTGATATGTACTGTGATATGTACTGTGATTACGCAGCTGTGTGATATGTACTGTGATTACGCAGGTGTGTGATATGTACTGTGATTACGCAGGTGTGTGATATGAACTGTGATTACGCAGGTGTGTGATATGTACTGTGATTACGCAGCTGTGTGATCTGTACTGTGATTACGCAGCTGTGTGATATGAACTGTGATTACGCAGGTGTGATATGTACTGTGATTACGCAGGTCTGTGATATGTACTGTGATTACGCAGGTGTGTGATATGTACTGTGATTACGCAGGTTTGATATGTACTGTGATTACGCAGGTGTGTGATATGTACTCTGATTACGCAGGTGTGTGATATGTACTGTGATTACGCAGGTGTGTGATATGCACTGTGATTACGCAGGTGTGTGATATGCACTGTGATTACGCAGGTGTGTGATATGTACTGTGATTACGCAGGTGTGTGATATGTACTGTGATTACGCAGGTTTG